ATCGAATAAACCGCGTATACTTACCAATGAAAATATACAAAAAATCTGAATATGAATCTGTAATTTAATATCACCGAGTTTATGGTTATTAGTGAAGTTCTCCTATGTCCTATACAATATACACAATACACTTATGTATATGAAGGTGTCATATTTACGTTTTTTTTTAAATATCAATAAAATGACGTGTATATTGTGTGTGTATACGTTTTGTGATTGAAATAAAAAAAACACGGCGACATCTGCAATCATAACTTTGAATTATTTATTAAAAATTTATTCCAATTTTTTTTTCTTGTTTTTTTTTTTAATTCTACAACAAAATACTTAACCGCTAATTTAAGTCAATTATTTCGAGATGAAATCTAAAAATTTTGTTTCTTATACCAATATAAATAATTATTTAACATTATATTTATAATATAATTTTTTTTTTAATTAAACATATAGGCAGCCATAATATCCACACTCTATTGAAATAATGATGATTTAGTTTATGCTAAATGTTATAAAACACCAAATTTAAAACCAACCTAGGCTGTTCTTGATTTTTTAACCTAGAAATATTGTGTATATATATATGTATGTGTATATGTATATCGATAAATATTATTATTTTGTTTTTGTTTCTTATTTTATTAAAATCGAAATTGTTTCAATATGAAACGGATAGATGGTGTATCAAATTAAAAGTGCTTAGTTTGATTTTGATATTCTTTCGTTTTTTTGTTTTTGTTATTTTTGTTAAAGTAAAATTATTTAATTTATATTCGCTTAATTTTTTTTTCTGAAAATAATTTGTTATTAAGGTGGATTTGCGATATATTATTAATTAATTGCAGAAGAATTGCAAGAATAAAAAATAAAAATTAAATTAAAATCAAAAATTGAAAGCTTTTTTTTTAAACAGCATTCTTGTTGAAATAAATGATTTTGGAATGGTTATTGCAAAATTTTGTTCAAAGGTTTTTTTCATGGTATTTACTCGCATGTACATCATTAATAATAAATAAATTTTGTAAAGAAACTTTTAAATTTTGATCATATCATGTTTAAATGAATAAAATGATAATTTAATAATTTTGGTAATAAAAAATAATGCATAAGATTTTAAAAATTTTGACAAATTAACAGCATTTACTTATTTTCATATTTTGTTTCGATAATTCTTTCGATACAATCGATTTCGATTGTAGGTGAATAGTTTTTGAAGGTACAATTCTACACGGTGCAATCAGTTATAACATTTTTACTCTCTATAGAGGTGTCGAATGATAATATTATAGTGTTCTTAAATTGCTAGATATATGTAATAATTTTGATTATTACAATATTTACCTTGATTCGTCTCATCTGGTTTGTTTTAATTTAATTGTTCTAAATGTTTTGATTTCAGCACTCTTGTTATAGTTATGATTCGGAGAGTTATTAAATTATGTATCAATTTGAAATTATATAAATAAACCAAAAGAAAAATCGATATTCGATTTATATTCGATTTATTCCATATATGTATACTTTATATGCAACATTCACAATGGGTAAGTTAACAATGACAATGGGTTAGTTAAATTTTGTATTTGAAATCAATGCAAAGAAATCAGAAGTTTCTGACTTGTATATACTAAAAAACAATTTTTTCATTAAATCATAAATATTTTACATTTAATTAAAATATAAATTTTAAGAAATAAAATCAAAATCTTTGATCAACAAGCATCATTAATAAAAAAAAGTCATAATTATTTTAATTATTTTTTTAGTTTTTTAAATTAAGAAATAAATTTCATTTAACACATTAGTTTTAAGGTGAACAACTTTAAAATCTTAAATCATCATCAATTCCAACCTCACATAATTACATAATAATCTGATTTGTATTTATTGTATATAACATTAATATTTTTGATCTTTTCTTATAATTAAATAGCAACCGTGCGCTCAATAATTTTCCAAAAAAAAAATTTTTTTCTTATTTTCTTAAAATATTTTTTTTTTGACTAAAATTATACTGCTAAAGGTTTTTTTTTTCGAAAAATTAAAAAAAAATTATTTTTGATAAAAAAAATTTTCAAAATGTAATTTTTTATTATGGTTAATTGGTATTTAATCAGAGCCTTTGTACAAAAAGAAAAAATTCCTTTTCTTTTGTTTCTTTTAAATTAAAATTACCTTGTAGTTATTAATTTAAAACATTAATTAAGTAGGTCCATCTACATACGTATGTACATGTGTAATAGTAATTATTGTGAATATTTTTTGTTTTTCTCTTTCATCTGCTTTATGAAATATTTGAGATATTTGCAGAATCAAAAATAAGAAGTTGTTAATTAAACGCCATCTATAATATGTAATTTGTACTTACATAAGTATATAATTTGACATTTTTGTAATTGTTTTTATTGCAATATAAAATGGTGGATGTGTAAAAGAAAATTGACGAAATTTTGAAAATATCGAAAAGTACTTTTACTTGCAATATGATATGTATAATCATAGCTGATTATGTAATTCACAATTTCATATTGATTTTCACATTGATTGCGTAGGATTAGAGGCGTAGAATCAAAATGTCTGACGAAATTCAGATTTGTAGAATCAAATTTGTACCAAATATGTGTGTGACTTATCTGAAATAACTTTAAACAACTGTTCATCTCTTAAAATTCTTATACATTAAAACTATGCGTTAAGAATTTGACTTTTACCCACCTTGAACATTTCCAAATGCATTATGTGGAAATATTTTTACATTTACAATTTTAATTACTAGATCACGTAAATAAATGCAATTTTTTAATACTTTTATATAGAACCAAGAAGTTAATCTACAAAAATTATTATAATTTATTGAGCTGTACGTTTTTTTTAATTAAAAACAATAAAATTTTTGACTTTAATCGAAACACTTAGCAGCATATCGATATATGACCTTGGCGGTATCATTTCGTAATAAATTTTGAAATTTCTGTTTTTTTTTCTACTTCTTCTTCTTCTTATATTTCGAAAAAGAAAATATTTTATTTTAAACATCCGATTAGTAACAATTTACATTTTTGTACATACCACACCGCAATTTTTGTGAATGTAAATGTAATATGATTGCACTCATAATGCAATCTTATAATATTATATGCTGGCATTATTAAGCTTATATAACAGTTATATTGAGTACAATATATTGTGTGTAGGTAAAGATAACATGTAAATTATAATATTGAAGATAGGTTGATTTTTTTCTCTACAGAAAATTACGATTTGTTAAGATAATCTACAGTGTGTAGCTATATAACAGATTGAATATTGATTATTAATATATAAAACGATATTTTATTTATTTTACCGACATTTAATTGTACTTGTATATTTACATATGCTTATAAATACAATATTGGATTTTTCAGATCAATTTTTTTTTATTTTTTACATTATTTAAAATTAAAAATTTTCTTCTTTTTTTGTTTTTTAACGCCCGATAATTATATTAATAATAAATGTACAATCAAAATGAATTCTTAAAGAGAATTAAATAAAAGTTGAATTGATCTTAATGGATTATTAAAATGTGACAAAATATTTTGAAAGAATCAAAAAAATTAATAAAAAAAATTTTATGATTTTTATCCAGATTTCTTTTAGTATATAAAATATACTCAGAAAAAATTTAAGTATATCCGGTTAATTTTTAATATTAATAATCCTATAATATAATTATTAATAATGGAGTATTACAATCAATATAAATATAAATTTATGAATATAAAATTTAAATTAACAAAAGAAGATTTTAAATTATTAATTTAATAGTAGAGTTTAAATTTTGTTTATTAATAATTGAATTTTAAGAATTACAAAAATTGTAGTGCTATTATTACTTTTAATATTATAACGGCAACACTATAGCACAATATAAAAATAATTAATTACGTCATCTGTAATTATATAGATGCCATCTATAGGTATAAATAAATAAGAATTAGAATTTATACAACTGAATTTGTTTGTTTCCTTTTTTTTTTGGAAAATTTGTCAGCGAAATTTTTATAATTCGAATTATTGAATTTTATAAAATTTTATTTTTAAAATTATGCTGAAATACAACGTGATAACACACAATAATTAAGCATTCACAGTCTCGTGTTTATAATCTGGGTTTTGTGTTAATATCGTATCACTGTATTATCCCTGCTAATATTTTAATAATAATATTAGCAGGGATGTACCATATTTTTTACAGACTACAAGAACGAGATACGCAATCGCCAATTAATTTAATTCAATTAAAATAACAACTTTCAACAACTATTTCTAAATAATATTATTAATTCTTAATTGTCATATTTCATGACAGTATTTATCATTAAAAATGTCAATAATTATTAAATGTCACATTTTATTGAAAACATGTGATTTTCTTTCATATTTTTTGAAAAATTTCAATAATTTACCAAAATATTTGACGTAAAATCATTATGTATATGTATTGAAAAAAATAAAAATAAAAAATTGAATATCTTTAATGGTTGACCTTGACTGAATGTCCTTTATGTATAAAAATTTCAATAGAATATACAAAATTGAATAATATAAAAATTTCTATTCAAAAAAGTTTTTGAATAGATTTTGAAACCAGTTTTAAAAGTGTCTTTCAACTGATTTTATAATAAAAATTTTATGCTTTTTTAATAATATAATAATCTTTTTGTCGTCTATTTTGAATTTTGTTTATATTTGAAATAACAATTCCATACAAAAAATATCGTCATCTTAAAATTTCCAAATAAACCTAGAAAATATTATTTTTTAATATTTTTTCGATAATAATTTTGGTTTTACCTTAATTAAGTCTGTTTGACTTCTTTTGTTTAAAGCAAATTAGAATTCAATTGCATGTAATAGTTTGTTAATAGTTCAAAATCATTGCAAGAGAGGGCGAAATAATGATTTTACTTAAAAATTATTTAATATCGAAAAATTACTCAAAAGAAGTTTCAGTGTGGATTTTGAAATTTTTTAAAAGTTTTTGTTTAAAGTTATTGTAGAATGGATTTGGTTATATTTTGTTTTACTAAAATTATGAAAAATTGAAAATCAAATTAAATTTATTTTTAGGTAAACAAGAGCAATATTTTGGGTAGTCTGTACAATTTTATGCTATTATTTATTCTATTTTTAAAATGGATGCATACAACATCATAAATTGGAAAAGATTTATCGAAAATATTTGAATAACTTTAATTTTCATTTGGATAGCTACCGTAAAATGGGTCTTTTAACATTGCTCACAACAATACCAGGCATAAATGCTATTTATAAGTTCATCTTAAGCAATGGATTCAATGTAATAATTCTAGACGGAAGAACTTTAAAATTTTGGATTTTCATAAATTTTGAGTTTAAAGATTCTAGTTTTTAAGACTTTGATTAATTCTAAAATTGAAATCATAATTATAATAATAATGAACCGGTTCATTTTTCTATAAATCACAAACAATACTATGGAAGTACCTAATATTGAATAATAAGAAAATTTAAAAAATACCAATTATATTATTAGTCATCAAGAATTTTTAAAGGTGTTTCAAGTGATAAAAACCAATAATTTTTATCTAGTAATGAACTAGTTTTGCTAATATTCTGGTTTTTAGAAAAAATACAATATTGAATTTATTGGTAACAAATTTGATATTTAAGTTAATTATTATAATTATTTTAAAATGAAATTTGATATTCGAAACAGTATATATAAAGAAAAGGACGACTCATCAAAATATTGAATTTGATTAAATTATAAATTTATTTTGATTTAACAAAATTTATGGGATTAATTTATTTATTGAAAGATTTCTGTTCCAATTAATTTTTATTTATAAAAATTTTGAGCAAGAAAGCAAGAAAAAATTAAATTCTATTTAGCAAACAATACGCACTTTTTTCTTCTGTTTTTCTATTTTTTAACTTGTTTGAATATTGTTTGAATATAGAAAAATTACTAGAGTCTGATGATGAAAAATATCTATACATAATGAATTCAAATTTGTGGGCTAAATGGGAGAGTTCTCGTATAAAAAAAACAGAACGAAAAAATATTAAAATGAATGTATACTAATAAAAAATTCCAAAAAAGAATATAAATTTTTCATCATCATCATTTTTTAAGAATATATTTTTTTTTGGTTTTCAGAAAAGAAATCATAGTTGCGAAAAGGTATAAAAGATCTATTGATACAACATTCCCAAGTAAGTTGACTTTATACTAAGGTAGAGATTACATTGCACAGAGAAGCTTCTGTAACGCAAAAGAAATTTTTATTAATTTAAAATAATATTTTTAAGAAAACAACATGTTCAAATCTGTAAGTATATTGGAATTTTATAAATTGTAATAAAAAATTCTATGGTAATAAAAATAATTTTTTTTTACAGATTGCATTTTTAACAATTTTATTTGTTGCTGTACAATCACGTCCAGCTGATGATCCATCATCTGTATCAATTGTACGTTCTGAATCAGTATATCAACCAGATGGTTCTTATAAATTCTCATATGAAACATCTGATGGTGCTATACGTGAAGAAAGTGGTATACCAAAAAATGTTGGACAAGAAGATCAATTTGTTGCTGTTACCGGTATGTACAAATATATAGATGCTGATGGACAACCAATTGAAGTACATTATACAGCTGATGAACATGGTTTTGTACCAGTTGGTTCAAATATACCAGAAGCAATTGTTAGAGCAGCTAAATCTGCATCAGAAGCTCATTAATAATTAGTAATTAAAACAATTTGTTGATCGCCCCCCGTATATATGTAGTTATGCTGAATTATGTTGAAAATAATATTGTTTTAGCTAAAGAGACAATCAAATTAATTTTTTTTTTTTTACGAATGAAAAATCAAAAAAGTGTTTAACTTTAGAATTTAATTTAAATTTATTTTTAGAAAATTTTGTTGAGTTTTTTTATGAAAAAAAAAATGTAATTTGAAAAAAAAAATTTTGCAAAATGAAAAATTCGGAAATAAAAATAAAAGCAATTTTTGTTAAATGTAGTATTTTTAGTGCAAAATGAATAGACTTAGGTGTATATGGACAAGCTATTGAAGCTATTATTGCTGAAGCTGAAGAAGTTTTAATTGTGAAATGTACCTAAAAATTAATAATTGCTCATAAATCGAATCGCATTATCGCTGTTTACCAAGGGCTATTGCTTCATTTGCAAAACAGTACATCTGCTATACTTGAAAGACACATAGAAGATCACAATTAAAAATATTTTCATGATATCTTAAATCTTAAGCAAAATTAGTGTAATAATAAAATTGTGTTAAATTTCAGAATCATTTTTAAATTTTTGTTAATTAATTTATTAAAAGTTTTATACTCTTCAAGTATGGATATAATTATATGGAAACAGGTGGATTATATATAAACTTATTGCAGCCTGCAATAATATAATACATTCGAAATAATCATTAATAAAAACCAAATTATAATTTATTCATTATTCAAATTTCAAAGTTACATAATTACAATTGCAAAGCTTACATATTATTACTGTTGTTTATATAATTTAAAAAAGAATTTCTTTGAAAATTATTAACTCTATATAAAGAATTTCCATAATATTGCCAGAAAATTTAAAATATTCAAAAAATAAAAACTATGAAATTTTCACAGCATAACCTTTAATTTTCTATACCCGTAGCATAATAATGTAGATTAAAGAAGATTTCGGAATAATTTAATTAAAAATATAAGCACAATTAAATTACATTTTAAAAACATTTAAATTTTAAAAGAGAATACAGAAAAACATTTAAATTAAAATTAAATTATTTAAAACAAAAATTATAGGTTACAAACAAAAATTGTTGAAAGTAATAACATGCAAACTGTAAATAATAATTAAAGTTAAAACTGCTATAATGAAGATTATAATTAAAATTCTGCTAAACAATTTTTTAAAGTACTCTGTACGATTGTACACCTAGTGTATATGTTTCGAATTTTGTTTAGAGTTTCCGAGTCACATGAATGGATAGAAAATTTCTCACTATAGTGCCGGCAAATTTTTTGTATTTTATTTCTATATGAATACCGTCGAGTCGAAAAATTAATTACAACTTGCAGAATGTTTATCAAATTTTCTTCACTAATTATTTTCCCTAAAATCAATATTAGGTTAGTTATATTGCAATAATTTATACGCCTTTCAATCAAAATGAAATGTGATTTTTTTTTTTTTTTGGATTCATTAAATTTATTAATGAAATTCTCAAACATTTTTTTGAAATTTTTTTTTTCTTTTTTTTTATTCTTAAATTTCCTATATTTTGTTATTACAGATTGAAGAATAAAATTTTTCACAACATACAAGAGTTGAAAATTAACTTGAAATCTCACGTTACCGTATAAACATTTTAATTAGATCTTCAGAAAAATCAACTTGGAATTAATGTAAAAATATTATAACTTATATGTAATAATATTAAGTAATGCTCATCAAAAATTTTAATTTCATTTAGAAAATAATTATAAAGTTGTACTAGTAACATTCGTGTTCAAAGAGTATGAATATTTTTTGATATAAATATTTAATTAATTTTTTTTTATTTTTGTGCGAATTTTAAAAAAATTAACCTTTTTAATTTTTATACATACATAATTAAATATTTTGAAATTCTAAATTTTAATTTAATATTCTGATCGGTCTATAATTTAATTTATTCAAATCTTGTATAATACTGAGAACAACACTAAGAAATATTAAAAGCCACAATGTCTATTTAAAGCAAATACTATTTATGCACACTAGGAAGCACGAGCTACGCACCAGAAAGCAACTGAGAACAGAATATCAGAATACCAGGAAGCAATTGAGAGAAGAATAAAGAGAAAAAAATTCTCATTCCGAAATAATGCAACGGATGATCAACTCATAGATTACGAAAGCCATGGTAGCAAAAATGAAAAGTGTAAATACTGTAGATGCGAAGGTGTTAGATGTCTTTTGGCCGAATGAGAGTAAAACCGAAAAGAGAGGTTCGATAAAAGGGATTTAAAGTGATAAAAAAATCGAAATTTTCTCAAAGAGAGTTCAACACAAGTTCCACAAACAAAACCTTCCGGTATTTATATGTTAAATGCTTGAGAAGACCATTCGCCAAATTCACAAAGCTGATTGATATTAAATGCAAGCATACAAGAAAGTCAGAAAAACATGCGAATGACTAATTACAAAGCCGGATATAGTGCACTATACTTAAGCGACTGATTTTAATTAAAACAGCAAATCATCCCAGACACTGAACAGTATAAAGCAATGTGAAGAACAACTTTCGGGAAATACTCGTATCCTCATACCTCTGCAACTCAGTTGGTAGAGCGTCTGTCTAGAAAACGGTAGTTTGCTAGTTCGTTCGCCTTGACTCGTTCCTTTGATTACGTCATCCATCTGTTCTTCAGTTGTATGATGAAATTTCCGTTAGTTATTCTTATAGCAGCTGAACTACAACTCATAACATTCAATCGAAATTTCTCAATCATCTAATTATACATGTAAAGTGTTCTGTTATGTAAAGTGTAATTTTTATGGAAGAAGTTCAAATCATGATTTGGTGATATGTGATTAAAACAATTTTTAAATTGAACCAATATTGTGTTATTCAATTAAAATAAATTTGACACAAAATTTCCATTACCTTATTAAACTGTTTATAATGTGATAATGGTTGTAATTCTTTTCGATTCTTCTTCTTCGTTTTTAGCAACACCCCGCGATCAAAGAGCTTTTTTATGTCATTATTTTAATAGAATTACGAGTATGTAATAAAATTCTTCTTAACTCATATATTTATTTCTTTTAACAAATTAAAGAAGTTTTCAAGAATTTCAACAGACAAATTGAAATTAATTTATTGGTATTTCCAATAAAAAAAAAAATCTTAAAGGTGCAATACAATAAATTAAGATTATTAAGTTTTACAACTAAAATCATTTCTAAATAATATTCATTTGTATTACCATTGATAATTCTCTATATTGGCATTATCATAAAGAAAAATGTGAAAATTACTATTAATGTCATATGGAATAGTTGAGTATAGTTAAAGTAGTATTACCACAACAGCTTTGTAACATCATTGTATATAAAATCTAAGATGTAATTATGTGATTTGATTAAATCGACAAGTCAAAAAAATTTTATTTCTTTTTCTGTCCAAGATATTTTATTATCAAACCATTATCGTATAAAATACTACTTCAAAATTATAAATCGTATAATTAGTAATTATTGTGGTTGTTAGTTTTTGCATTTAATTCTCAATTTTAAGGTGTATTAATTGAAAAGCTTTATTAATGTCGTCAATAGAAGATGTCGAATTACTTGTAAAATTTTTTAATTTTGTTGCACAGCTACTGAATTTGCTAAAATAATACGAGTGAAGTGTTATACGGTAGTGTTATATGATATAGACTTGTAGTACTATTTTGAGTATTAAGAAGAGTTGTGGTAAAAATGCATGAAAATTAAATCGGAAAACACTGATTATTGACACAACTGCGTTTTTCGATTAATGGCAAACATACTGTTGGCGAAAAGAAATTTTTCTTGTATTGTGTTTTTATTTTCTACAGCAAACATTGTCGAAATATTAACAAACCCTAGCGTCTTTCAAGCCGAAGTGCACGCAGTTGAAATGTGTAGAGGGAAATGAATTGGCCAATTGAGAAATTGGAGAAGAGGCGTTCGGAGAGCTGTTATTTGCGGAGGTTTGAAAAGAACTAGGAGCTTCTTGGAGATTATGTTCAGGGGTCTTTTAAGTAGATCACAGGGTTGGGCAAGAAGAGGATGAAAATTTTTACCGGTGTTTTGAACTACAATTGTTGACTTACGTAGCCAGTCTAAATATTAAGGATTTTGTGAGGAGGATGAGGGGACCTAACTGTTCCGTCTTGGTTTGTTTTCAACGAACTCATATTAATTTCTTATTTTATTTGTATTCATTTTGAAAAATTAATTGCCATAATTTTCAGATTAAGTCAAGAAATCTGTTCTTTACTTACTAGTATATTTTTATTTTTAATAGCTCCTTATTTCATTTAGTTTATTACATTCCGTAGGCTGTCGTTATTATGAAAATTGCGAGTTTTTGCTCCTATTGCATATTAAATGCATTAGATATTTTTTTAAATTCCAAATTAAAATCTAATGGTTGTATATTTTATGGTTCAATTAACGTCAATTTTCAAAAAAAAAAAAAAAATATTTTACTTTTATAATTTATTTAAAATTAAATTTTTCTATTTTATTTAGATGCCTTATAATTACAATTTCTGTACTCATAATTGCAATTAGTATAAACAATAAAAATAAAAAATATTAATTAATTTCTTTAAAATTAAATTAATTACTTAAAATAATTTTTGAAAATGTCTTCTCTTAAAATTTCTCAATAATATTTTGCTCATAACTATGCATAAACACATTTACATACATACATATGTATAAGTATTTTAAAGAAGCCCGTGAGAAAATTCAATAATTAAATTGAAAATTTAATAAAATTGTATGAATAATATTGTTAGTTTTAATTTTGTTTTCTTGCTATAGTGTATAATATTGTGTTGTATGCTTTAAATTGATAGTGAGTTGTAAAAATGTTGGGTGTTATATTGAAAGAACTTAATATTATTTCAAAATTATTATAATGTGAGAGTATGAAAAGTATTTTGGATTTATATGATGTGAAATATGAAATTGT